TTTCCTGTTGCCATTACTCATTATAATATTTTTAATCAAGATTTTTGTCACTTATTTTAAAAGAACTTCCTAAACTGGTTTAGATTTTCTATTTCCAGAAGGATAACTTTAACAGTGATATTTTATTCATTAGGAACATAAAGAACTGAGGACAACTGAATTTGCCTATATTTTCCTTTTTGGCATCAATGTTGCAATTTTCTCTTCACTAAGTCATATATAATATGGTTTCTCTCAAAAAGTAGCACTTAATAGCTTTTAGGGACAACCTGGGACTATTACACAATGTACTTAGGATGAGTCATAGTCATTTACTTAACCTAAAATGGGCTGGATTTATGAATGGATGATCTGCTATGATTCATTTTTACAAACAAGACTCATTAATGTTTCAAAACTAGTATTTTAAGACTCTCTACTAGAACTGCTGTTTTTATCTTGGGAGAGGAATTGTAAGTGGTAAAGTCTTTAATAAAATAATGTTACTTTCTACCAGTATGAAAATAGTTGCCTTTGAAAATAAAATGCTTTATTTTCTAAGGGTGGTTAGGATTTTATAAGTAATATATAAAGGACCTAACTTTTCCATGGTTTAGTTTGCTAAATTGTAAAGTAATGCCTACTTATATAGGAATAAGAATCTACTACACATGGTTTCTACTTGAGTTATTTATAGTTTCTGTAGAACCTAAAGAACTTGGTTAAATTCAGTCAGATTTGTAGTGATAGAAAGTCAGTAGGCCAAAGAAAATCAGTGGTCTTATAAAAAAAACTCATAGAATACTGATCTCCCTATTATTCAAATATATTTAAGATACAGCAGAAGATACTGGCATAGTTACATATGCCTAAGAACTTGAACAGTGGAAACTTAATCAAATTTGCACTTGCCCACCCTTATTTCACATACGTGCAAAATAATGACCAGAATTTAAGTAGTCTACCCAAAGCTACAGAATCATAAAATTTTAGACTCATGAAGAACCTTAAAGGGCATCAACTCCAACCATCCACTCAAAAGAAATTAAACCTCCTCTCTAATAGCCCCATCACGTGAAGAGCCAGCATATGTATTACCACCTACAAAGATGGATGGAAACTGATCACTCCTGAGCCTTTTGGGCAGTTCTGTTTACTACAAAGATCTTTCTCATACTGAGCTAAATCTGTTTTCCTAGAATTGTGCCCATTGGTCCTAGAACCCAGGTGGACTTACTCTCAGACCTGTACCTGTAACAATGAACCATTAATTCGTTCACATACCTTATTATTTCTTTGAAGTTCTATTGTGAATTTAGGAAGAAAAGTTATAGGTACAGTTATTTCATGCTGCTAGTTATAGTAACTGTACAATGATATATAAAACAATAGACATTTAACTTCTAATAAATTTCAGAGGTACTTTTAATATCAAACCCTGACATATCTAACAAGAGTCAAGGGGGCTGAGGTATAGTTTGTATACATGTCTTGGGGATTCCAGGATATCACAGCAGATCAACTAGGAGTTCCACTTGCATGAGAACTCCATCTTCCTCTTCCTTCCCTGACAAAGACATTCTGAGAGAAAAGGGCTTTGATTAGATCTGATGGGCATAAGGGATTCTGACAAGAGCACAGAGAAGAACAAGTCCAGGAATTCCAACTTTTGGAGGGCAGAGAACTCACTCTTAGGTAACAGAGTTGGGATTAATGGAATACAGGGCTTATCAGTATTTAATAAAATACTGTATTTATTAAGGACCTCAAAAATCATCTGGCTCAGTTCAGGAGAACTGGCTAAAAAATGCTCTGCAAAGGAGATCACAAATATGAAAGAGCAGACTAACTGTAAGGAAGGCAGATATTTGGTTATACTCACCATGATCCCAGAGCACACAGAGAAGAACAAAGTAGTACCTACTAGTTGGGACAAACCTCTTAACTTCAAAAACCCCTCTAATGGCAGGAAGAGTCAGGATGAGGGGCATGAAAAGACAAGGTGAGAATAGAAAAGCAGTGACGAACAGCAGCAACAGTGAAGAGAACAAAAAAGGGAACGGAAGTATCAATAATAACTGCAGCAGGAGCAACAGTATTAGTCACTTCTTGAATGAGGTGACAGCAGAAGAAACAAGAGTCAAATAAATCCCCTACTGGGGTTTCCCATGTAGAATGGAAAGCAACATCAGCAGCAACAATGGTGAGAAAACATCAGTAACTGCTGAGAAGTTGCACACAGTCGCTTGGAAGAAAAAGGAAAACAGCAGGACTTGGGAGGTGGAGCCTGATGTCACACTAACTCTAGTGGTAAAGGGGCTCAGAATCAACGTATTCTTAGATTGCTATGTTATTGGCTTCCCTAAGTAAGCTAAGATATGAGAAAGCAAAGGTTAATACTTCTCAACAAACTTGAATTCACCTTGACACTTTTTCTACACATAGGAATCAAATCGTAAGAAAATAAGCAGAAATCCAGGATGGTCGAATGATCAACATCCTGGCATTATCTTTGGTTCACTTTTTACATATTTAAGTTAACATGTCCACATTACTTTATAATCTTAACTGGTGCTCATGTTGAAGACTCTGATACACTAAAATACCCCTAAGTATAAAAGTATATTTTTGGTTGATAGTACTTAGCAAGGCAAACAAATATACTGATATACTTAAAAATATTTTAGCAGTTAATTTCAATAAATATTGACAGCATGCCCACTAAGTTAAAGGCATTATTTTAGCACAGAAAATCAGAGATGAAAAAGAGCCAATTTCTATCATTAAGGAAACCAAACAGAAGGAAGCTAATAATCCTTGAACACTTCAATGTTTTATGTACCACGATAAAGACAGCATCATTGTTCCTGCCCCTATAAGCTTCAGAAGGTTAGTGAAAGTTTCTCCCTCAAGTGTTTATTTCATTAGGAATGAGGATTATTAATACATTACAAGTTGGCATCCTGTTCACAGGTCTGCTTTGAGCAATAACCATTCACTAGCTCAACTACTTTATGAAATATGCCCAGGCACAGATATACTTGTTAAATTTCAGGCTCCCCGTCAGTGTGCTCGTTCCCAAAATTAAAGAGATCTCAGTTTAACTAAGAGGTAATTTTGGAATCAAAGAATCTTTAGTTAAATACTGGAGTTTACCCAATCAAACTTCTTTTCTATGTAAGAATTACTTTCATAATACCACCCAACCCAATGCATGAGCACATACAATGATGGGACTCAGGTGTGACAAAGCAATGACTCCATTTTTATAGAACCATAATTTTTGGACAGTTCTTCCCTGTCAAAATTTGCTTCCCTGCAACTCTCATCTGTCAGTCTAAAATTTTCCCTCTAAAAGTGCTGAGAACAAGGTCTTCAAGTCACAGCTCTCTTCTAGGTTAAACATCCTTCAACTATTTTTATAGTCTTTTATAAGAATAATTTCTTGACTGTATGCTCTCCTGGCTGCCTTCCTGGGTTCAATCTCAGTTTGTCAATACTTCTTTCAAAATATGTTAAAGGGATACCATCTAACCAGAGTAATATGCCAACTGTTTTGAACTTTCCTGCATCAGGGGAGCTGATGTCCTGCTTCAGGTGAGCATGCACCCCGCTCCAGGTAAGCATGAGCCCCACTTCAGGTGAGCCCCACTCTCCCCACTCCTCCACCCCTCATGGGATTCTCTGTGTCCCTTGCTCACTTGCACCCTCTCTCTAAAAAAACAAAACAAAACAAAACAAAAAACCAAAAAAACCCATCTAAGTCCTAGGGGCACCTGGGTGGCTCACTCGTTTAAGTGTCTTTTTTTTTTTTTTTTTTTAAGTTCATTTATTTACCTTGAGAGACAGAAAGCTCACACGAGCAGGGGAAGGGCAGAGATGGGGGTGGGGGTGGGGAGAGAGAGAGAATCCCAAGCAGGCTCTGTTCTGGTAGTGTGGAGCTTGAACCCATTAACTGTGATCTGAGCTCAAACCAAGAGTCAGACACTTGGGGCATCTGGGTGTCTCAGTCAGTTAAGTGTCTGACTCTTGGTTTTGGTTCAGGTCATGGTCTCATAGGTTCCTGAGATTGAGCCCTGCATTGGGCTCTACAATGACAGTGCTCCCCTGCTTGCATACACACACACTCTCTCTCTCTCTCTCAAAAAATAAATAAATAAGCTTAAAAATTTTCTTTAAAATAATCAAGTTCTATTCATAATGTTAAGTCTTCCTTTCTGGATAAGACTTCCTTTCTGGATAAGTCTATCCAGTAGTGGATACTGTCATTTGTTTTGGTGCGTAGACTCTGAAACCCCTTTGTAGGTTGAAGGAGTTGACTTGGTGCAAGGTAAAGACCACACTGGTCCTATGGGTGCTGATAACCTAGAAGGCAGTGGTTGGTAGCACAAGATTCCTGTGGCAGAAGTGGCATCTGTACTACAATATTGAGTTCTTAGTGAAGAAAGGGCACTCTTGGCACTGATGAGGACTCCTAAATCAGACCAGTTTTGTAGTATAGTTGTGGGGCATTGTTCCTGAAGATCAGCCTTGAGTCTGGTTCTCTAGTCCTCCCATAAATTCTCTGAGACACAGAATATCATTTTCTTGGGCCGCCTGGATGGCTCAGTCAAGTTAAGTGTCCAACTCTTGACTTTGGTTCAGGCCTGCTTGGGATTCTCTCTTTCCCTCTCTCTCTGCCCCTCTCCCACTTGCATGTGCACCTCTCTCTCTCTCCCCACCAAAATAAACACTAAAAAAAAAAAAAAAAGAAAAAAAAGGAAAAAAAAGTATCATTTTCTTAATCATTCTCATTTTTTCATTCTCAAAAAATTTGAAACAGTAAGTTTTGCCAAAAAAATTGCATGTCTAGCTGGTACAAAGAACTTTCTTCCCTGACCATTTGAAAGGAAAATGCTGACATGATGGCCCATCACCTATAGAATACTTTCATATGCATTTTGTATTAGGACATTCTCTGATATAACACAACCATCAAAACCAGAAAATTAACACTGATACCTCATTACTATCTGTTACAGATTGAACTGTGTTTCCTAAAAAAGATATGCTTCTGTACCAGCACCTCAGAATGCAGTTTTATTTGGGAATGAAGTCATTGCAAATAAAATTGGTTAAGATGAGGTCATGTTGGAGTAGAATGGAACCCCAATCAAATATGGTATCCTTATAAGAAGACAGCCATGTGAAGACACAGAGACACAGGGAGAATGCCATGTGAAGATGGAAACATTAAAATGATGCCTTTAAAGCCAAGAAACCCCAAGGATTGCTGGCCGTCACCAGCAAGTAGAAGAGAGGCATGAATTCTCCCTCAGAAAGAATCGATTCTGCTGACATCTTGATCTTGCACTTCTAGCCTCTACAACTATGGGATATTAAACTTCTGTTGTTTTAAGTCACCCAGTTTGTGTTACTTTGTTATGGCAGCCCTAAGAAACTAATAAACCATCTAATTTTCAAATCCCATTCAAGATTCACCAATTGTCCTAATAATGTGCTTTCTAGCAAAAGCATCTAGTTCAGGTTCACATGTTGTATTTAGTTGGCATGTCCCTTCAGTCTATCAGTCTGAACAGTTCCTCAGTCTTTCCTGGACTTTCACAGTCTTCACCTGTGAAGATTAAGGGTTATTTTACAGAATGTCTCTTGATTTGGGTTTGTCTATTATTTCCTTGTGTTTAGATTCAGATTATGCATTTGTGGCAGAAATATCATGGAAGAGACATCATGTTCCTCTTAATGTATCATTATCAGGTAGCACACAATTTTGATTCCTGCCATTACTGAAGACATACAATTTCATCACTTGATTAAAACGGTGCCTGCCAGGCTTCTCCTGGCAAGTCGGTCACTATATCCTTTTGACATGTCTCCATCCATTTTGCAATCTTCCCCCTTTCTGGGGTAACAATATGTTCCATTCTCATCTTGTACTTTCTCTGCCCCAGACCCAGAATCAGGAATGTCTGATTTTTCTGATTCAACTGCCAGAAGGATTCATTCTAGTTTCTTCCCTTTCCACACCTAAAATTCCTTCTTAGATAGTAAGAAACCCAGGTCTCTCATCATTCTTAACAGAACTGTTTCTTTAATTAGTCCCCCTGTGTGTGTCATCAATCTTCCATCTCTGCCACCACTCCCGCCCTCCACTCTGTCCCCCGGCATGTATGGCCTTATCCTACTCACGGTCTAATGCCCCACACTGAGCCCACCCCACCCTCTAACAACCCTCTATGTAGGTGTCCTTCGCTCCTTGGCTCCATGTCACCACGCACAAGCTCTAACAACCTGTGCTGGACTACCCACTCCACTTTTGTGTATATTCTCTTTTTACCATATTTGGGCTCTGATTCCCCACACTAGGCCATTCTACCCCTCAGCCCATCATGTGGACTACTTCTTTCCTCTGCTTGGGCTCTGATACACCAGGTTATTCCTCTATGGGGATGCCCTCCTCACCTCACTCAGGTTCTCATTTCCTATGTTAGGCTGTCCCCCATGTGTGGATGGGTGCTTCCTGGGGTTTGATATCTCCTGCCACGCCAAAGAGATACCCTCCTCACTACACCCAGGATCTGATTCTCCTTGCTGGATTCTACCCTCTACCTCCCATGTAGACATTTTCCTTACCTCATTTGGGCTCTGACACATCAAACCAAGTCACCTCCTATCCCACGAATGCCCTCACACTGTTTGGGCTCTGACTCTTCTTGATGAGTACCTCCAATGTATGGATACTTTCATTACCCTGCTGGGGCTGGGACACCCCATGCCAGGCCATCCCTCTGTGGAGGCCCTCCACACCGTCCTCTGTGTGGATGTCTTTTTTACGTGACTTGGGCTTTGTCTACTAAGGACCACCTCCATCGTGTGAATGGTCTGACTCTACTGGGGCTCTGACAACACATGTCAGGCTACCCTTCCACACAGATGACCTCCTCATTCTCAGCTCTGACTCCCTACATCAGGTTGCCTTCACCTGTAGGTACTCTCACTTTATTCTGGCACTGATTCCCTATGCTGGACTGCTTCACTGTATTGATGACTTCTTTATCCTGCTGAGATTCTTACATGCCACACCAGGCCACCCCTTCTTGATGATACGCTCATCAGCCTGCTTAGACTCTGAGTCCCTATATCACGACACTTTGCTGTGTGAATTCTCTCCTCACTCTGGGCTCTAACTCTCTGCACTTGGCTGTTCTCATATGGATGAACTCTTCACCCAATTTAGGCTCTGACACCCCACTTGGGCACTGCAGCTCATCTCTGCCACTCCTATCAATGCAGTGCTGCTGAAAACTAAATATATTCCCCCCAAAATTCATATGTTGAAATCCTAACCCCAATGTGACGGTATTAGGAAATAGGGTCATTGAGAGGTGATGAAATCATGAGAGTGGAGCCCTCATAAATGGGATCAGGCACCCTCACAAATGGGATTAAGCCAAATGTTTATTAATTTACACTGGAAATAATCCCAGTTTTTTAGGTTTCATTACAGAGGTTTTCTTTTATTGGTCTAGTGACTGTGAAGAGAAAAGTTTTCCTAACCTGATGGCCTTAGAGCCAAGGATACTAATTTACTCTGAGCTTCACTGGCATATGATTTTTCTCCCTTAAGGCTTTCTTCTTTGTTATCTGTTGCCTCCACACTGAATTCTACTCTTACCTTTTACCTAGCTCTAGAACTAGTACAGGAAGATGTCTGTTACATAATAAAAACTAGTGATAGCAAAGGGGAAGAAAAGGAGAAGATGAGCTCCCAGTAGTCCTTAGTCTTTTCTTGTCCTGTCTTCTCTTGCTTGGAGCGAGAGCATGATGGTCTTTAGAAAAACTTCACCCCAAGCCCTCATTCACTATCAGTCCTTCCACATTCATCCTGTCTTTTAATTTTGAAAAACAAAAACATGAAAAGGGGAAAGCTTTTTACCTTCTTTACGGTTCCCCTTTTTCTATCCTGTGTTTTTAAAAACTCTGCCCAGTAATTTAAAAAAAAATTTTTTTTTCAACATTTTTTTTATTTATTTTTGGGACAGAGAGAGAGACAGAGCATGAACGGGGGAGGGGCAGAGAGAGAGGGAGACACAGAATCGGAAACAGGCTCCAGGCTCCGAGCCATCAGCCCAGAGCCTGATGCGGGGCTCGAACTCACAGACCGCGAGATCGTGACCTGGCTGAAGTCGGACGCTTAACCGACTGCGCCACCCAGGCGCCCCTCTGCCCAGTAATTTTAAAACAAAGAGTCCACTCTTATAATATGTCATACAGAGAGGAGTCTCGCTTTTCTACTGAAGCAAAGAAATTTATCTCTGCATAAAAGTATCTTCACACGGTAGTCAGTTCCTACTATTAAGAGACTATTGGGGTGCCGGGGTGCCTGGGTGCTCAGTTGGTTGAGTGTCTGACTTAGGCTCAGGTCATGATCTTGTGGTTTGCAAGTTTGAGCCCTATGTCGGGCTCTGTGCTGATAGCTCAGAGCCTGGAGCCTGCTTCCAATTCTGTGTCTCCCTCTCTCTCTCTCTCCCCTTCCCCTGTTCATGCTCTGTCTCTCAATAATAAATAAACGTTAAAAAAAATTAAAAAAAAAAAAGACTATTAATACTACAGGCACATTATAAATTAAATAGGCTATTCGGGTCCTGCCAGTCTTTACCTGCCAGTTAGGATTTTATAAAAATAATTCTATTTTTATACTGGCTAACTCTTAGAATGTAAGTTTCTAACAGAGCTATGTCTTAGGTTTATTTGTACATTTCTTCAACTTGTTTTCAATAAATATTGTTTATGATGGAAGCATTTTAACTAATACAACATCTTTTCAAACACATCTGCAAATGAGGATACTCATTACCATTATAGTGTGACTTAAAATACAAAAACTGCTAAACACAGTTAGATAACCAGACTTTGAATTTTAAATAACTTTTATTTATTTATTTCTTTTTAATGTTTATTTTATTTTGAGAGACAGAGCACAAGCAGGGGAGAAGCAGAGAGATGGAGAGAGAGAGAGAATTTCAAGCAGGCTCTGCACTGCCAGCACAGAGCCTGAATGCAGTACTTGAACTCACAAACCATAAGATCATGACCTGAGCCAAAATCAGGAGTTGGACGCTTAACCATTTGAGCCACCCAGGCACCCCAAGTAACTTCTATTTTAAAAGTTAATTTATAACTATAATTTGTGAATTTCCTTCCTTACAAAATCAATTAAACTGCAATGTGCTGATAGAGATTAAATGACATGCAAAAGTTCTATATAGCTAGTAAGTTAGCAGAGTTGGGATTTAAACCCAGGTTCTCTGATACCAAAGTCAGTGATCTTTTTACTGCTCTTCTCTTTAGAGTGGTGGTTCTTCTGTATGCCTCTCCTGGAACACATGGTAATATCTGGAGATGTTTTAGTTTGTCATAAATGTGGTGTGTGGCAGGGTGGCTAGTGACTTTACAAAAAAAATTCTTTTAAAGATAAGATCTGAACTTGGTATTGAAGCATTGGTAGGATTTGGATAGGCTAGAGATGGTGGAGATAAGGGCGGATTCTAGATAAGAATAGTACAGAAAATACAAGACAGGTTCAAGAAGACAATGAATAAGCCAACTTAGCAAGATAAAGGGAAACAATATTAAAGGGAAAGGGAAAGCAACACTAGAAACATGAAATAATCTTTTAGAAAGACTAAAAAGGAACTTGAACTGGGTTCAATGAAGATTTTTGAGAAGGGGAATGTAAGACTAATCAAGAAACCAGGGAAAAGAGACTGATTAGGATACTACTGCAATACCATAAGGTATTCAGAGTTTGTGAGCTGGTGTGGTAGTGGTAGTGAGAAAGAAAAGAAGAAACCATAAACATAAACACCTTTATGTATTATAAATTTCTGTCATCTCAAATGATAACAAATTACCATTCTTACCTGTAATACATTGAAACTGTCCATCTTCTCTTCTTATTGTAAATGCTTCCCCTGGGTTAACTTGTACCAGAATAACCTTTAAATGAGGGAAAGAAGTATTAATCAGAACAAAATAATCAAATAATAGAGCAAATAATAACAATCAAGATTATATATAAAACAGTATTACATATTTGCCAGGACAGTAGATGTGAGCTATTTAACCTTATGACACTGGGAAGGAAAATGGGATTACACATTTTACACATTTGTTAAAGTATTACTTCAGTTTTCTGGAGATTTAAGCCAAAAGTAAGGGAATAAACAAATACAGTGGCACACTTTTACTGGAAAGGCAATAAACTTTACTCTGAAACACAGATGGAGTCAAACCACAGAATATTTGGCTCATCTATCCTTAGTTCATTAGTTGCTAAGTATTTCA